AGGCCTCCTGTAGCGAATCGCTGCGTTTTTGTAAGAAAAATATCCATATTCAAAACGTAATAATCACTTGAATCTAGCTTGCGCTCACTGTTGTAAACAGAAGCAGTTCCGGGGAATGACGAATGAGGTCGGCTTTGCACATGCGCCACTCATGCGATCTGAAAGCACGTGATGATGATTTCCTGCTGATTACAGAACCGGCTTTACTAACAAAATGCGCATGACAATCGCATTCGATTAATCGTGCAGCCCTATTTTTGGCTATTGATACAAATATACCCCAGCGACTTAAGACTGGTTTTGTGGTCCAGGGTGACATATCAGTTTTAGCACCTAAATTAATTACTACATTGACAGTAATGTTATCTTCTCATAAGGATGTGGGACGTGTCAGTGGATCGATATATTTGTTCAGCCAATCAGATTTTAGGGTCTTAATAGAAGTTAAGAGCTTAGGATTTCTCAAGTGTGGTGAGATCATCTCAAGTGTTTTTGGATCAACATCCTTGTTGGTAACATGTCTCTACTTGCCGTACCTTTTCAACGATACCCAGCTCTCCACTTTGAAGCACTTTTCGGACAATAGTTCCAGCCTTTTCGGCCACGGTGTAGGCTGAAGCCACCAGCCGCATTAACACTGCAGGGCTGCTCGCCATCACAGCGGCTGAAACAGAAAGCACACCTCGCTGCAGTTCAGAAAGACACACCTTCTGCAAAGAACCAGGGGAAAAGTCAGAAGACAACGGTTATGCAAGTCACTTATCTGATCATTACGAGGAATGAGATTCTTGCCGAAGTAAAACTTGAAATAATGACTTACTACTGATCTGTCTTTTTGGTATCAGTGATTTTTTTTTCTTTATTTTATCAGCATTATGACACTGATATTATCATGCATCATGTGACATATCATGTGGATGTTATGTAGATTAAAACAGATGTTTATGAAATTGTATTTATTTATTTGTTTTTAAATCATCCTGAATATTTTCCTTGGCATATTTGACCTGTTTTGCACGAAATGACTCCGGCTCGAATGGGATTTTATATTATATTTTTATTAGTGGTGTCAAACGATTAATCGTCCAAAATAAAAGTTTTTGTTCACATAATATGTGTGTGTGTACTGTGTATATTTATTGTTATTTAATGTATATATAAATACAAACACATGCATGTATATATTTAAGAAAAATATGTAATGTTTATATATTAAATATATTTATATATAATATAAATATATACATGTAAATATTTTCTAAATATATACTGTATGTGTGTGCTTTTATATATACATAATAAATATACACAGTACACAATATATACAATAAATATACAGTAAACATATATTATGTAAACAAAAACTTTTATTTTGGATGCGA